TTTACTGCATAGGAAGGCTAGAAAAGAACAAAAGGCATCATCAAGGAGAAGGAACTGGATCTAGGCCTAAAGGGATGGTGAAGACTTAATGGAGAAGATGGAGGGAAATGCCAACTAGAGAGAAAAGGTGGGAATGAGCGAATGGGATCCCCAATAAGCACTTGTGAAGAGTTCAGGTAACAAATGATATCTGTAAAATCACTCTCTTTGTTTATGGTGTTCAATAAGCTTTTAAAATAAGGTCCTTAACACTTCACTCATCAAGTAGAGCGATGTCTATGAAAAAGTTAGCAAGAGAATTGCAGCAGTGCTACACAAAAGGATCATTTATTTTACAGATGTCATAATCTTTCAAAAGAATACCAAACCAACACCTCACCTCATTTTCATTCAGTCAACTTTGACTTACACAGACTGTAGAGAAAGAGGAACTTCCCCATGGGGTGTCCAAGTTGTAATCTTTACACAGCAGTCTGCCACATCATTTCTCCAGTGTGGCCACTGGCAGTTCCAAACTGTCAACCTGTGGATTAGCAGCCTTATTCCTTCTTAGCACCTTATTCCTTTGTCTCTATGGCTTCACAAACAGGAGCCCTGGTGTCCTGGGGCTGATAACCACAAGGTCAGCCCTTCTAAGCCACCAGCAGCTTCCCAGGAGAAAGACAGGGTTTTCTGCTAAAGTAAAGAGTCAAAGTGGCAATGTTTTACAATTCTGTTTCTATGGGGTTTTCTTTTCCTGCCTTTAGTTTGCTTGGTTTTGTTTGTCTTTTGTTGTCTGCAAGTTAGTTTGTTGCCATTGTTGGCGCAGTTGGTCTTATGGGGTTTTGTATTTTTCATAAAATGATCAAGACATAAACCTGAGTCATGCATATCCCAGGGACAAGCAGATGGATTATGGGCCCCCACTGAACTCTAGCCTCAATCCATAAACAGTTAGTTCTGATCACATGGCCCTGCTTGATTCATAAAATGAATAGAATTCATGGCCATTATCATTCATAAAAGGATCACTGAACATAATGGTGCTATGGCAAAGTGTGGTGAAAAAAAGCAGAGTGCCAAGCTATCAAGCAGAATAGTGTCTGGGGTCTTGAAGGCTTGCATTCAAATATGCAGCCATCTAAATGAGGAGTCAACTAGGTCCATATGGAAGAAGCACACCAGCTTGTGTGATCCAGAGATAACAGTGAGAGAACTCTTGGAGGAAAACTTCCCCAGCTTAATGAATGAAAAACAGGCAACTATT